GAGAGAGAGCGAGAGATCTGATATAGATCAGTATCTGAATCTGTCTAATATCCCCCGAATGAATTGCTAATTTATAAATTCACCATATTCATAAACGGCTTAATAATAAATTCTATATTCTGTTACCACATTATTTGTGATCAGTGGGTTTGCAGGGTGGGTGTTGGGGGTCTTTAGCCTTTGGCCCCCATCCCTGCCACCAGAATATTTTTAAGCAAGTGTTTCTAACTTTAATTTGAATATTCAGTATCCCACCATCTGCCCCCCCCGCACACAAACAAAACACACAGTATAATTCACTCCCTCATTAAAGTGAATATTATTTATACCATTTTACACCAACAAACTCAGATAGCTAAGGATGAAGAACCTTTTCTTCTTTAAAGAACCATTTGTAATAGCTAAAGAACCATCTTCAAAATAAAAAGGTTCTTTGACGTATGATGGTTCTTTAAAGAACCATAGAGACATCAGAAGAACCATTTAAGAACCCAAATTTTTCTGAGAGTGGCTGCCAGTAAAAGTAGTCACCTGTGATCTTTAAAATGGCCCTGATGTGTGCTGCTGTTTTTAACTTTCAACAATTCTTTGCTGACACTGTGAATATGAATGTGGTCTTTGCCTAATTAAATAAATGTTACACTGACTCACTGCTTCATCTTTTGGTACAAACTGGCATTACATGGAAGTACAGCCCAAAACCAGGTTAGCTTGAGTTTCTTTTTTCGGGACATAAAGTCATAGTAGGTATTGTTTCAAAGCTGGTGGACCGATTTAGTTCATTTTGGAAGTTTTAAGAGCAACTGCTGTGAAAATATTTGTAGCTTTGGGAGAAAATGATTTAAGAGAAGATTTTACCTCAGCAAAAGATTAAATATGAAAAAAGGATTGAAATTTAACTTAGGTAACACATAAAATGAATACAACTACTAAACACTACTGTGTCCTAAGGAAACAAAGACTATAATGTAACAGGGATAACATTTTAGAGAATTAAAATCTCTAAAAGGAAAAATAATAAACTTGATATAAACTTGATACATGCAGCTTCCTAAATGTAACATTCAGGATTATTCACTGCAGGTCCAGAAATCAGAGTACCTCATCAGATCCAAGTGTGACATCAGCTGACACTCTTTACAGGAGATTCCATCTGAACTCTGTGGAGCCTGATCTCAAGGTTTTTAAGTCTGAGCCTGAAACCAGAAGAGGATCTTTCTCTCTCTTCAGATTCATTGTGATCCAGTGTTAAGAAATATACTC